CCGCAGCCGGGCAGCCCGGCCCCGGGGGCGATCGGGGCGGGCCAGCCCTGCTCCCGCTCTCGGCCCCCTCTGGCTTTCCTCATTAACACCCTAATTAATAGGGAGAGGGGAAAACAAGCAGCCAGGGACAGCGCGGAGCGAATGCTGACCGAGGAACCGGAGCTCAAATACCGAGACCGCAGAGAAGGTGGTGTCGGTGCATCTCGGTTAACGGCTAATTGACAGACGGTCATCACGTTTAAAACGCTCGGAGACCTGCGTGTGCCTCTCCTGTAGCGCATGTGAATTAAACAGTTGCTGTAGGGAGTGGATTGCTGCATTTTTTTAAAAAACACAAGGTAATAAGCGGCGGTCGTTCTGTTTGGGTGCTGGGATGTCTTGGATACTTCTTAAAAACCTTTTTTTTTTAAAAAAAAAATCCACTAAAATCCCTTGCTCGCAGTGCCTTTGTACTCCTGCTGAATGTCTGTCTTGGATACTTCTTAAATTTTTTTTTTAAAAAAAAAATCCACTAAAATCCCTTGCTCGCAGTGCCTTTGTACTCCTGCTGAACTCCGCCTGCTCGCGGCCCTCGCTTTCCCACTAACGAGCAGCCTCCACGTTCTTCTTTTTCCAAGGTCTTGTGTTACAAACGCCCCGCTTAACACTTCTGACCCAGTTCGCCTTCGCTGGCGGCCTCGGGGGTTTGCGTTTCGGCAAACCTGACGCGCCGGGTTCATCTCGCGAGCCCGTGCTCCGCTCTTCTCGCTGTGGGTTTGAATTTACGTGGTGTAATGCTGCAAAATGTGCTGTACGTAATGCACATGCAGCCCTGGGCTTGTCGTCGCCTCTTTCAGTCAATTAATTCTTCAAATTGATGCTCCTCTTGACGCGTGTTTCTCTTCCGTGCTCGTTACCAGGGAAAGCTGACAAATTCTGGCGCTCGGGGAAGATTTAACGCGTGTTTGTATAATATTAGATGGTTTTAGGCTTCTCGGACTCTTGAAGCTTGTTAAGTTCTCTGGAAAACGTGCCTCTGCAAACATCCGTGCCCTTTGCCTCTTCCTTGGGCTGGGAACCTCCGCACGGATGCGTCGGCGCGGTTTGGCTGTCACACACGCGTCGCTGTGCGTGACGGTGACCTTGATGGACCCCACGTGAAATGCGAGGCGCCCGGCTGGCTCCCGCGGCGCTTCTGCCTTTGCCAGGGTGGCTCGCGGAGTCTGGGCTCCAGCATACGCTTCCAGTCGGGAATGTCGATGTCAGTGTTGGTGTGGAAAACAAAGGGTGGAAAACGAAATGAAAAACGCCTCCTGGAAATCCAGAGTTCAAATTCTTGTGGCCTTTATTTTATTTTTCTTCGGGATCCTTTTAGTCTAACCGTGTCGTTCCTTTGTTTAAGACCAAAGGGTCAATGGTTTTGTTGAGCGCTCAGTGGAAGGAGGCTTCAGTTTTTCAGCTTAAAGGTGGCATTCGAGAACTTCAATCTAGGCTTTTCTCAAACTGAGATTTGCTGTTTCTCTGTAGGATTTGCTTCGTGTTTAGGGGGGGGGAAAAAAAGTATTCTCCCCCAAACGGCCAGCATCTGAGGGCTTTTCAGCAGTGTCCTCTCACTCCCTGCCTGGGTGCAGGGGCATTTACAGAGGAGTGCTCTTGCTCTCAGCTCTGCACGTGATTTATTGGAGAAAGCAGGGTCGAAGATCCGTTTTGGAGCTGGGGAGAGGATGGGGAATCTCCCTACAGAACGGCAAAAGAGCATTATAATTCTGGCTTGGCCTGTCATTTACTCTTCCCTCACCTAATTAGGTAGATAAAACAAGGGAAAACATTTTCATGGTTTGGGAAGCGTTGCATACGCCAGAATTGCAGCTGAAATGTTGGGCCACGTTAAATTCTGGTAAAAATCCGGGTTGCGTTCTGATCGGGCTGTCCTTTAATGAGACTAAAGATATTCCTTCAAGTTGCTGTGGTTTGTTCCGTTGTATTTTACGTAGAATTAGGATGCTGCTTCGCAGTACGCTACTCGCTGTGATCTCCAAAGTAGAAGAATACATCTGGGAAGGATGCAAAAGTCGACCCAGTTTGGGGCTTTCTTCTTTTAAATAAAACTTTGTAGCTGGTCGGCGTGAGTAGTTCGTGCTAGATTAAGAAAGCAAAAGTGACTGGCTGTAGCCGACTTCCTCTGAGGTGGAGCTTCAGACTGGCAAGGTCGTCTCTGGTGCGTGACCTCTCCGCAAATATTAGCGGAGTGAAATGGCCGGCAGGGAAGGGAGGCAGTCCCTAGCCAGGCCTGTGTTCCGTGGGTGAGGTGGCTTGCAGAGTGCTGGGGCTCTGAGGCGGGTGGAGCTGGCTGTACCCTAGGTTTTAGTTCCTTTCGGAAAACTCTTCCAACCTCTGTGGATTAAGGAAAAGACCAGCAAAAAAAAAAAAAGCAGTTTGTGCTAGGGTAGTGTTGAGGGAAGAAATGAGTTTATAATCGTATCAGCCTTATTTGCCCATTGGAGTACAATCCACTTCCGTGCTTTATTAATTATCAAATATTAATGCAATTACAACCCTGAGATCCAGGAGTTTTATCTTGGGTAGATACAGAGGCAGCAGTAATTTTGTTTTCTCCGTCAACTCTTCAATAGCTTGTAGCAGCTCTTGTCCCTTGTGCTCTTGAGAGCCTTTACAGCTGGGCTCGGGTCATTTTGCACAGATTCCTAAAACCACTTTAAAACCAGCCTTCACCAGCTCTGAACTCGTGGCGGAATCAAAGACCTGCAGCTCGTTGCTGTTGGGTCATCCGTCAAAGTCAGTCTGTTGGTTGGGAAATCTGCTTTTCCTGGATTACAAAGTCAGTTATGGAGCAATTTTCAGGAGCAGGAAGTTACTCCAGAATAAACCAGCGTATTCCTCTTAAGCGGGTAACGGTATAACTAACAGGGTTTTATTTCTGGAAGGAATGCCACCGAAAAACTGATTCGCGTAGCTGAACTCACCGCACGGACAAGTCCTGTGGTTTTGAGAGGGGTCGAATGTGGGGAACAGAACAACCATGCCGCTTCGGAGTGTCTGTTGAAGAAGTACGTGTACGTTAACGTTTCTCTGGCTCGCTTGGCTCCGGGAAGAGGGAAAATTCCTGTACCTTACAGAAGCGGGGATCCCGGAAAACTTCTCTTAAGGACCGGTTATACAGAATTGGTTTCCTCTTGCATCTCCCCCTCTCCTTAAATAATCCCGCTCTGACCAAAGGGTCTGGGAAGGCTTTGGAAGTCTGATGTAGAACGGAAAACACGCACTTTGCCACAAAACAAACAGCCGGTGGAAGAGGGAAAATTCCTGTACCTTACAGAAGCGGGGATCCCGGAAAACTTCTCTTAAGGACCGGTTATACAGAATTGGTTTCCTCTTGCATCTCCCCCTCTCCTTAAATAATCCCGCTCTGACCAAAGGGTCTGGGAAGGCTTTGGAAGTCTGATGTAGAACGGAAAACACGCACTTTGCCAGAAAACAAACAGCCGGCATTTAATAAGCTGTATTCATCCAGCGCTTATCCAGGCTGAGGACTGATCTGGATTGACTGTAGTGAGTGAAACACGTATTTCACGGCTTTTGGTCTCGTGGTCAGGACTGAAGTACAGTTATTTTCTGTTTGCTCAAAGTCTCTTCCTTTCTTCTTGCATTCAGCTGTACTGCACGCCCGCTGCTATTCTCATGGGTCACAAGAATCAGATGAAGAATTTGACGCTCGCTGGGTGACGTATTTCAACAAGCCAGATATCGATGCCTGGGAGCTCAGGAAAGGTATGTTGAATGGCAAGGGAAGAGTAACGTGGAGTACGTGTAACTCCTTTGTAATAGGTTTGTGACCAGAAATAACAACTTATTTTTACTTCGCTGTTGGAGAGCAAAAATAGTTCCGTTTATAGAAGTGATACGGGCAAGAACCCGCTGTTCTTGCAAACCGTGAAAACTGGGAGTTCGGTGTAAGAGAGCAACCCTGTAACTGCCCGGTGGGGGCAAGGCACTGCGTGAGCCTTTCGGTATCTGTTCTGCATCGTCTGGCCGCTCCGCCTGTGCCCGTGGCTGGCGTGCTGCCGTTTGCCCAGCTCTGAGCCTGCTGCAGCCGGCGGCGGCGCCTCACCAACCAAACGAGCGGGTTGGAAGGAACCACGGCATACAGAATGAGGGAGGGTGGGGGTACAAGGCGGCGGGCGTCCAGGCTTTCTAAATTTCAGTGCCCCAGAATACGTATTTTAACGCCTGGGTGGGAGGGAGAGAAACGTTTGCTCTGAGGAAAGTGTATTTCAGCTCAACTGTTGCTCGGCGTGCAACCGCACGCATTTTTCTTTGGACTTTGACTTAATGGCTCGGCCGTAACTCACTGTAGACCGTCTGGTTGTCTCCAGTTATTTGCTGTGGAGTTGCCAGCTCCTATTAAACTACCCCAATTAGGGCTTAAAAGCTGTTTATGCTGTTTGCATAACAGCCGGAGGGATCATTCCAGCATCACCTGGATGAGTAGGTGTTGGGCTCTTCCCTTGGAAAGGAGAGGAAGGGGATAGACAGCGGCTCGAGTTCTAGTTTCATTACACCTGTAGGAATGAAGTCGTTTGGATTTCTTAATGATTCCGTAACTGATGTGCCGTGGTACAGACAGTGGCTCCTTTTGGGAGCGTGGATGAAACTGGCCCGCTGGGATTTCATGAAATCCACTTAAAATCTTAAAATCTACAGTAGTGAGCAGCAGCGAGAGGGAGAAGAGCGAAAGAAAACCCTTGGCTCTTGTGTGCGTCCCCAAAATAGCGGTGAAAACTGTGATCAGCTTCTAATGGCGACTGGTGTGGTGGTAATACTTAATTCTTTCATGAGGTGGAGCTAAACAATGCTCAGCAGGTTCCTTTTGATAGCAGGATGAGCTGAGGCCAAGTTCCTCTTGGTATTTCCTTATATTCACAGGCATAAACACGCTTGTGGGTTATGACCTGGTTCCGGAACCAAAAATCATCGACGCGGCTCTGAGGGCATGCAGACGGTTAAATGACTTTGCCAGTGCTGTCCGCATCTTAGAAGTTGTAAAGGTGAGTGGAACGGCAGCCTGGGGCGTAACCGCTGTGTTCGCGTTGCAGAGAGCCCAGCAGCAGAAGAGGTTTTTCTTGGCTTACCGTTAGCGGTGCGAAGGGAAACCACTGTTTCCTGCTGCCAGAATCAATAGCTTCGTTATGAGCACGTGCTCGGTGGCTTGAAATAATGGTTTTGAGGTAAGAGTGCTCAACAGCACAGCCTCACAAGTATGACGTTCTTACTTTCATACTTTCCTTTCCTGATGCTGACTCTGGTGGGAAAGTCGTTAAGGATTTTTCTTCCTTTTTTTCTTTTTTAATAAGTGTTACTAGAAGTATCTCAAGCGAAGGCAGCTTACTGGCTTCTTAAAGTACTGAATACTGAGCTGGCTGGGAGTAGTAACTCGGGAAGCTGCATAAGCTTGAAAAAAACAACATAAACCAACACCTTGAAACCTGAGTCCAGCCTTCACTTAACAGGGAGTTAAAAGGGGTGGGAACGGGGGCAGGAGTTCTTCTATTTCAGCCGTAGAAGCCAGCAGCTATGCTCTGCCAACTGGTTTTTGCCCCAGCTGAGGAGGACTGGCGTGGGGGTCTTTGCTGCTGGCTGTTAAATCCACTTGCTTCAAACCCTGCTCCGCGATGGGCTGCTTCTCGGTTTGCCCTTTCTGCTCGCTGCATTCTTCTGTAGGACTGAAGCTCTTGCAGTGGTTTTAGAGACCTAAGACCAATGGAAGAATCTTCGTATGTTTTCCTTATCTCTTTGGGTTTTTTTTCCTGTCCTTTTGTCCCCACCATCTAGGGGACAATTCAGTTTATCAGAACCTGGGGACCCATTTCCAAGCTAGTTAACTTTTCTCCCAGGTCTGCCCAAAAGCTGATTTTATTTTTCCCCGTTTTACTGACTGGACGTTATTTTCAGTCCGTTTCCTAAGGTGTAAGCGGTCTTCGGGCTGGTTCGCAAAGCGTCCCTTGTTCAGGGAGCTTTGGCTCGGCCTTTAGTTTCGTGTGGTGTGACACACGTGTCGCGGGTCACATCGGCCTGATGTTAAGCGAGGGAAAGGTGTCGAGCGTTAAGAATAATCCCCAAAGGGGAGTTCAGCATTATTCTGGGGTGCTCTTCAGCCACGATCGGTTGGTAGGAGGGCTTTCCAGTACAGCTGTATGCAAGCCTTGTTTACTTGATGTACAGGTAAAGCTGGGCCGTGCTCTCCCGTCCGGCGTGATCCACCCTCGCCAGCAGCGGGTGGATCAGGCCACGGACCGTTCGTGAACACACATCTTGATTGCAAACCCGGCCGGTGCGCGGTGGACCTCGACAACAGCTTGCTGTTGAAATAACGCCGTTCCTTTGCATTTAGGACAAGGCAGGACCTCACAAGGAAATCTACCCTTACGTTATCCAGGAACTTAGGCCAACTTTGAGTGAACTGGGAATCTCCACTCCAGAGGAACTGGGCCTGGACAAAGCATAAAACCTTATCGGTAAGGGATGCGGTCACTGCAGAGACTCTTGGCACGGGACTCCCGTACCCGAAAACTCTGCTGGCAAAGACGAGAGTCCTCCTCCTTCAGCCCTGGCGGGTCTGCGAAAGGCCGTCAACTTCAGGCTTGTAACAGGATTCTCCAAACGCCTCTGTAACTACAGGTCTCCTGGAAAAGGCAGTAACCCTTTTCAAAGAAGGCTTAAAAAAAAAAAGAACAGCGCGGCTGCTTGAGAAGGGGCAGGGTGGTTGGCAACCGTACCCAGCCGCCCAGAAATTTCGAGGTAGCGGTTGCCGAGACAACGGGGTATAGCAGCACTTTGTTGGCGGCGTGTCGACCTTTGCCCCTCGCCGGCTTTTCCCCCAGGAGCATTTTTAGCCAAGGGCAGGATCGTTTCCTCTGGAAGCGCACAGACTTTCATTTCATTGCCACAGCGTAGCCGGTTTAGAAAATTGGGAGACGCTAATTACGAGCTTACGCTGGAAAATGGGCCCCACTGATGATAGTCACCCGACCACGCTGAAGTTTCTTCGCCTTACACTTAAAATAGTGTCTTTTTCCGTAATTAAACGCTAATTTGGAGGGGCCCTTGCTTACTGAATAAACGGATCAGCTGTAGCATAGCCAGAGCTGAACCGCTCTGTGCGCAGGACGCTCGTGAGCCTCGGCAGGTAATTCCAGGAACAGCGCGTGTCGTATTCCGTCCCGATTGCAGCGGCCTCAAGCCTCGGAAAGCCACTTGTTTTACCGCCTTTTTAGAGCTGAGCTTCCGAGTGCTTTCTAAACTTGAAAACGACGTGTAACGAAGACGTTTAGATCTACGCCATAAACACCAGGCTCTTGCATGAACTGCAGCGTATGAAGGCGGCGTAACTAAGCGGCAGCTTCTCTGGTTAATGAGGGTCTGTCGTTAAGTACAGGCAAGAGCTGACGCGCTCTAGTCCCTGACTAAAATGAAGCCCTAAATAAAAATCCTCGTGGAAGTGAAGCGATGTAGAGGCAGTCCCTTAACTCGGCTCCTTCAGGAGGTGGCCGGTGTCGTATTCCAGCCTGGTTTTTTTTTAATATTATGCTTAGAATAGAGCTATCGGGTGTCAGACTGCAAATAGGACTTAATTCTGGATCTTTTAAGTCCCTGCCCTTCCTCCCGCCCGGGGATACGAAGTTGGGAAGGCAGTGATCGCACGTGGAAGCTGTGCGTGGTTAGATCGGGCTCGGAGGGTGAGAGCCGGGGACGAGGGGAGGGAAGGGGGACGAGGGGAAGGAAGGGGGACGAGGGGAAGGAAGGGGGACGAGGGGGAAGGCGTTTGGGAGCCCCGGGGGGCTCTGTGGAGAGAGAAGGGGCTGCTGCTTCAACGGCTTCTCCTTTCTTTTCTGTTCCAGGTGCGTCGCTCCCGCGCTTTACCGCAGCTACCTGATTGTACACAGTCGCCTGGAGACACAAATGTAGAAAATATTACCTTATTTGAAATAATTTCTTCCTTTATTGAGTCACAACGTATGTGATGTGAATTTGGGCCTAATAAAGGAAAAACTGGTTTGGCTGAGGCGGTAGCGGGGGGCTTGTGTGATTATTTCTTTTCGCCTTTACGGGGAAAAGGAAGAAAAGGGGATTTTTCCGGGAAAACACGAATTGGGGCAGGGAAGCGGCCTCCCGCCGCCCAGCGGCTTCGCGGCGGGGGACGGCGCTGCGCATGCGCGGCGGAGGGGCGGGGGGCGGGGCGCCC